ACGCCCGGATAATTCGATTTCGTGCCCTCGCGGTGCGGTCAACATCCACCCCGCGGCTAAGACGACTTCGGGCGCGCGTTCACATAAATCTCTGAAAACGGCCGAAAAAGCCCGCCGTGTTGTACGTTGCGTAAGCGCATCGTTCGACGGGCCAGATATCCCGAAAGAAATAAAAAAACCCTACCGCTCGGCTATGTACGCGCGCGGTAAATAAAAACCACCCGAAAAGACAATAAATACGGGACCGTGGCCGAATTAACCGGCCGGTCGGAAAAAGATTCGGTGTATACCTGCGCTTATCGTTTATTATTTGATCCTCGTCCGGTCGTGTGCATGCAATGTTCCTTCACGTCCGCTCGGCCGTCACGAAATGTAGGCACGAAAAGTATGGACCAGTGGAGTAGTCACGGATAGAAAAGGGATCCGGTAAATAAATTAGGCCGCCAAATATTATCTTTGTATGAACATTTTGAATACACGCGTCGCGTATTGGTCTTTCGAATATGAATGCATCCTATAAAATGATTAACGAAAATAATTAATAAACATACGAAGTATGAAATAAATTCAAATAATTATTAAAAAAAAAATATATTGCATATTACGTGAATTATTGTTTTACTCTAATACTGATCATAATTAGAATTAAAGAAGTGTAATCTTAGAATTGTCCAAGGATACCGAGACCCCCGGGCATTGCTTTACTTGTCCCATGATAGTTACGTCATACTGGAACAAGCTAACCATCCCCGGTTCATTCATCGCAGTTATATATTATAAATGATAACGCGTCAAAACGTTTTCAAATTGTTTTCGGAAACGTATTCAATAAGGGTGTACAGTAAATATTTGATCGTGGGGACGGTGCACTATTTAGAATTTGTGATTCCCCATTGATCTTTAATTTACTAAAGTCTTAAACTATTTAAAGTTTTTAGCTATTTCGTAAAGTGAATATATTTCTCGTATATATAATCTCGATTATACGACAATTTTTATGAATAAAATTAATCGATAAATTGTAGTCACATAAAGCCTTGTTTTTTTTTTTAACGAATTGTTAGCAAAAAAAAAATCTTGTTTTAACCATAATATTAGATAGGTTGGTTGTATTGGAAAAAAATAAATAGCTTAACTATGAAGACACTCAACTCATGAACATTTCGAATATTAAATTGATAAATTTAAATTAGTAATTGTTATGTTTGGTACTACAAGATATTATAATTATATCAACAATCATAATGGATATTAAATTATATTTTTGAGGTTTATTAAAACTCTCTATAGTATAAAATAGAATTAGAAGTTTAATGAAAATTAAAAAAAAAAAAAAAATCATTAATAAAATTTCTGTTCAGAATTTACAGAAATGTTATTAAAAAACTTTTTTCCCGAGTATGTCTCATCCTGTTCGCGCGCTGTACAGAGATTTGATTTATTTTTTACAGGACTTGCTTTATATTACGTGATCTATAAAAACTTGCACTATCATCCGCCTTCCTTGCTCCGTGAGATTATTTGCAATTACGACGATAACTGGACGTTTGATTTACAGGACTCGTACGTCGTTTCAGATCGCTATGCAATTGGCCAGCTGCAAATCGAACACTTTTCGCGAGCCTCGATTTTGAAGTTCCGTTACCGTGTTTGATACATCGATAATGTAAACTTGTGTGTAACTTGTACGTACTGATCATAGTAATAATATATTTACAAATACGTCTAAGCAGGGTCACGTGACATCAGAATATGTTTTTATTACGTGAATAATATCATAATTGAAAAAAAAAATCAATTTTGACGTGGTTTTACGAGAATCACGGGACCGTGTGAAATCCAAACAGTTGCTGGCACGGTGAAAGGGTGACCGCATACGGTCTTATATATAAAGTATAAATATATTGTGTAGTACGAGTTAAAATATATGTATGGCAAGCGGGGAAACTGATGCACCGCTAACACATTAATCGTTGCAGAGGGTAGGTGTATTATACAAGTCAATTAAGTATCATCGTGAAACGGTTCGACGACTTCGGACGATGGCATTTTTTTACGTTTCTCCTACCCTCCAGCGTTCATGCAGATAACCCGAGATTTGCGCGTGGCCATTCGAATTAATTTCGTTCCCACAAGAATAAATATAATCCTTATAATCTTAAAAATAAACACATAATTTATATATATATATATAGTAGTGATGGGTCGAATTGTTCGAAATTCGAACTCGGCATGAAAAAAAATCGAACCGAACTATCAAGCATCTTTTACTGTTCGAAAATCGAACTTGAAAATATTTGTCGAACCAGACTTTCTGGTCACGATAGTTCGAAAATCAAATATTTGTACAATTCTTCAAAAGTTTTTTTTGAAAAATAAATATTGATGATTATTTAGAAATAATTAGACTGTTGGCGATAGAAAGTGATAATCACGTTATGCATTATTTATAATAATAATGCTATTATTATAATAATAATGTTATTTTTCCAGTGGCATGTTACACATTCACTTTCCGCCGACCAAAACATTAATAAGTTATTTATCGCCAATAGAGGCAGTGTATCTACATTTATAATTTAGCTATTTTTGTTTTTATCATATTTATTGTAGAGATTAAAATCTATTTTGGGAAATCCATGGTAATATTCCGATACCGCGACTGCTGTTAATAGAAACATGTTTAAACTTACGTCTTACATTCTACTAATTATTCTATATTTGTGAATTATAGTTATTATTATTATTTTTATATATATTATTAAAATGTACTGATTATATTGTCATACTCAATACTCAATACTCAATGAATATTTTATAAGTTACAAGACAACATGAGAGAGCACAATAACTGGTTTTGAAAAATAATAATAAGAAGAAATTATCTAAAATTTAAATGTATTGTAAATAATACAATTACTTAGACTTAAAAGTTAAAATGTAGAATAGGTAATACGAAAACTTAAAATACAATAGTAATTAAGCAGAGGGTGGACACAACACGGCGGCAACGAAATCAGCGGCCATTTTAATTGAGGTACTTTTGTTATCAAATTATAATCAGTGATAACTGATATTCCTTATTATTGTAATTTCAATTATGGTAATTGTTCAATATGTGATCTACCAAACAGTGTGAAACATGGTGACTCACTGGGTACCAAGACGTTTTTACTTGTGGATCATTTTTTAGATAGTATGTCTACCATAATACAGGCCTATGTGCAGGATTTCAGAATGGGAAGTGTTTAAAAAAAAATGTATAAAATAGATTCATCGATGATTCAATAGTATTATACAGGTATTTATATAAATTTATTAAGTATATTAAAAACGTTTATATCGATATAATACTATAAAATGCAAATCATTGTTGTAGTAAATTTACAAATACAATTGTAATACATTTACAAAAACACAATTTATATTTTTTTAGTAATGATGGGAGGTTGGGGATTGACCCATGGTCATACCATAGTATAAGACTTATAAGTCCCCCAAATCTCAAACTCTTATTGCACCTAATACCTTGAAAAATAATACTACTATTAGTAACATTTGAAAATGCGCAGTAGCTTATAAAGAATATTACTACCGTTTCATGATGGAATAAAATGTTACTAACTTCCTATTGTACCTCAAATAAAATGGCTGACTGACTTCATTATTGTCCTATGCCGCCCATGTAATTTGTTATCAGTATCCATTCTGTTTTTTTCTGTGTTAATAATTATGGTTAAATTTAATTTGTAGGTAGATACAATGTACATGATAAAAAGTATTGAGTTCGAGTTGAGTTCGACTCAAAATCATAATAGGTTCGGTTCAGTTCGGTTCGATTTAAAAAATCAGGGTTCGACCCATTACTAATATATAGATATCGTCAAAAACCAGTCGTCGCCGGAGTTTCTACCCCTTAGGATAAATCTTTATAAGTTTTTTTACTTTTTTTTTTACCGTTTATATAAAAATATTTATGTGTTCACCCAAAAGTGGTATTCTACAACGATAATATTTTTAAGATTTTCGGTCGATTTGGATTGTTCAATATGTATTTGTCGGTGTAGTCGTAACAAACGGCATTTTTTTTAACTAAACATTTACTGAACAAAAGCAGCTTAAGATTACTATGATATTGTTTTGCTTTTCATACAAAGTACGAACGCATTTTTTCATGGATAGGATTGTAGGAACGAATAAATTTGTTTATTGTGATAAAGAGACGTAGGTCTCGCTCTTGTTTTTCAACTTAGAAGATTTTTTTTTTAAAAAAAACCCTGTTTTAAACCTAATTAATAAACAAAGTTGTTATTTATACGTGTGTGTGTGTGTGTGTGTGTGTGTGTGTGTGTGTGTGTGTGTATGTGATACTATTGTACAATTTGATTCACTAACATTCATTTACGTGTAAATGTAAATGTTTAAGTATACGATTTCATTAAATAATACCATATATATTTACTATTTCAGTTTATATACAAATATAACATTATAGTTATATTATATATTTTATATAAATAGTTAAAACTTAGGCAAATATTTTTTAAATTTAAAAAATAAGTGAATTGAAGTAGGTAAAATGAATTAATTATTGGTAGGAAACATTCGTTATAGAATTAAGTTTAAGATAAAAAAAAAATAGAACGATATTTTGGAGTCTTCGGTGACATTCAACACCAGTTTTAACACATTTAGTTTGAGAAAAAGAACGTTGTTGAATTTGTATATTTCGACCTAGATATTGATGCTACAATATACGGTTATATTGATAACTGGTGTTTGGTGACGTGGTGTATTAAACAGACCGAGTGACTGACATAAATCGACTGAAAGAAAAGAAGGCAGCTGGTGATAAGCATTGACTTCGGAATACACGTCATCACTTTTCCTATTTCCTAAACGTATTTAGCGTTGTGAATAGAATAAAATACTCGCATGATATTTATTACTCAGCATGTTTCTTTGGATAGATATACTTTTGCAATGCACTTTGATAGAAATGTATCTTTAGTTATTGATATAACTTTCACATTTATGTATATATTATAAACTTTATAAAAAGTTGCAAAAAATCTGGAGGTGCAGGGATTTGAACCCTGGACTTTCAGCATGCGAAGCAGACACTCTACCACTGAGTTACACCCCCAGGTAATTAATATTGTAATTTTTTACTGTACATATTCTCTAGCCTATCGACAACCATATAGGGAACGATATTATTGTGATCAGAAAAATATTTCTTTGAATAGTTAATTTTAATAATTAGTTTTCTTTTTAAAATAAAACCATGTTAAGATTTATAGAATTGTAGTGTTGACACATAACTTATGTAATTTAATAAGTTTTTAGTGTTGACATATAACTTATGTAGGTAATTTAATAAATTTTATTGACATTAACAGATCACTTGGAACTTCACTTATGGAGAAGCCATATTCAAAAAGGTACACGAAGTACTAAAACCAATATAATAATAAATTTCACCAAAATAATTTTCACACTTAATATAACTAACTAAACCAAATAAATGTTACTTACTACTAATAAAAGTCAAACTTGATCGTTTTGAACTGCAATTTTGTGTTAGGTACTACCACTTTTGCAACTTAATATAAAATATATTATAATATTATTTGATTTTCCCACTTATAAGTTAATTATTCGTTTGTATACAATTATAAATAATATGTAAAATATTTATTAGTTTATTATAATAATTATAATTAAATAGTTTAAAATTAATAAAATTGTAAACCAATAATAAATATTTAACTTAAATAAGTTGAAATGTATCAAATTTATCATCTGGGGGTGTAACTCAGTGGTAGAGTGTCTGCTTCGCATGCTGAAAGTCCTGGGTTCAAATCCCAGCACCTCCAAAAAAATTTTTGCTAATTTTTATCATCGATATTTTTTGATTTCATATGTTTTCATTATTTTATATAATTGTGTCACGTAAGAAAATAATTATTGGTCAATCGTAATTCCATGAACATTTCCAATATATATCTTTTAAAATCAAGCACTCGAATGAATAAAACATATATTTGGAATATTGTTCAAAAAGTATTATTATAAAGAAATAAATATGATTTTTAGAATTTGAATTTTATTAGAGCAGAACTTTGAGAACAGTAAAATGCTGTAAAGATTTTAGAACACAAATTAACAATTAATTGTTAATGTAATTGTAATTATATTATTATATTTATTATATTATTATATTATATTATTATATATTATATATATATTATTATATTATTTATATAATTATTGATATTATTTAGGGTAAAAAATGGAGTCCACGAGGAAACGGATTAAGATAGAAGTAATGTCCTGTGAAAAACGTTTACAAAAGTTAATAAACCGTCCAACATTTATTTAAATATTGTACGGATTTTGCGTTATCATTAATTAGCCACGTGATTTAATGTAAATTAAATTTTCAAATTCGTTTTGTATAAAATCACGTTTTTTGTGTTATGTCGTTATAGCGAACAAGCGAGTTCTTTTGAACATAATGTGTATTACATTTTGTATTGTTGGCTTGACCAGTTTAGTGCACAAAAAATAAAAATATATCTGAAGTATCAACTATATTTTTTGCACATTGACTTGGTTATAATTAGGGCTAGGAAGTTATTGCATTTGCATGTTTTTCTTGCATCATTGGATTTATTGCTAAGTGAGCTAGAAATTCATTCCAAGACACTACGAAAAATATAACAAAAGTTTATAGTGTATATTTTTGCATATTTAGTGATTTTTAGATTTTAGAGCATATTTCTTGATTTTACAATTTTTTAGAGCATATTTTATAATTTTTGAAGATTCAGTATGAAAATTCAAAAAATATAAAAATAAAATACATTCATATTGAGAGAACTTTCTTGATATTTTTGTATCGTATTTTTCAAACTTCCATTTGACATAAAAAACAATGTTTTCCCCTATCGGTTAATTAATATATATATTTATAAATTATAACTACAGCTAGCTTTATCTAAAAAAAAAAATATTATACAACTATCAAATAGGAACAGCTCTTATTGATAATACGATGATTTTCTATAAATACTTTTCTAGGAAAATAACACAATGCTTATTGAACATTATTCCAGAGAATTTTTTTTTTATTCAAGAAACATTTTTAATGCCAATTTATTATTATTATTTTTTTTAAATTATGATTAACAATTAAAAATCAGAATTATTTTTATTACTTTGCTTTTTCTATATTTATTATTTTATAAAATATTTGTGCATCTATCGTTAACACATCAAAAAAAAAAAAAAAAAAAATACAATAAAACTTCTCAAAACATTTTACTTTTAACTCATTATTACTAAGTATATCTATGTACTCTCCTCACGACACCATTACCCAAGGTTTATAGATTATATAAATTTATAAACTTTGGTCCTTAACTACCCGATTCCATAGAATATGTTTTTTATTATCAAAATGGGAATAACATGATATTAGCAAATAGGAGAAACAAACATCAGGGCATAATAGTGTGTGAAAAGTGTTTTATATTATTCTAAATTTACATTTTTTTTTTTTTAACTATCTTCTTCATTTTGTACTTTGTCAGTATTTAAAAAAATCATTGATAAATTATTTGATTCATTATTGATTATCTTTTCCATTTCGACCCGAATTTATACTTATCAGTTGAAAAAATCGTAACCACAGCTGGCCATACATAACAGTAACTTTTCACACATTAGATTAAAAATAATCTAAACCAAAATAATAAGTATAAGAAGTATACCGTGGTTGCCTAGCTATAACCAAACAAATTACGAGAGTATAAACAATAATTGATATTCAATTATTTCACAACATTTTTTTAAGCATTTAAAATTTTTTTTTAACAACCTCAATTATCTAGGGAAAAAATATAAGTTTTTATATATTTTATTTACAACAACACAAACAATACGTAGATTAACGAGTTTAAATATTTTTCACAGAAAAATACAAAATGGACCATAACAATACTATCAATACTGTATTCGAAGAAACTAATATGTCAGGTAAATTACAATTTTCGCATTGAATAATGTTATATATTAATGTCATCACAAAGTGTAACACTGTATTAGTGAGAATGTGTTGATAACACATTCACATACTTGTATAGATGAGTTTTTAAAAAGTCATGTTATTAAAATAAAAGAATTTATTTTAAAAGTAGTGTTTTTTTATCCATTTAAATGAAAGATGTTGTATAAGACAAAACAAATAAAATATTATGTTGCCATTACATTGAGTACATTTTTTTTTTTAATAGAATACTCTTGTGTAATATGCCTTGAACCTTATACGGACGATTCAAATGGATTTGTTTCACCTTGTTATTGTCGAGGATCAATGTACAAAATACATAAAAAATGTGTGAAAAAGTATATTCAAGTGACAAAGAAAGTGAAGTGTCCAACTTGTGGTTATCCTTACAAATTCACAAAAAAAAGGTAATGACAATTTTTATCTAGAGATTTACTGACGTGGTTAAATGTCATTAATTTTGGATGAATAAACAATCAAAATTCACTCGTACAAGATTTTAATTCAAGTGCTCTTGATGTATTATTTATAATTTTTTTTTTCATATAAAATAATTTATTCACTATTATGTACTAATTTATTATTTTATACCTGCATTTATAAAAATGTTCACAGAAATTCACTATGGAAATCAATTAGAACTTGGTATTTTGGTAATGACGACTCTATCGAAAGAATATGGACTAATAAATGGGGTTTGTTGTATACAATTTTAAAATACAATTGGCCTATAATTGCAGCTTGTATATCAAAATATTTAAGTAAAAGGATACCTTCAAATAAAAACGTATTATGATTATTGAAACTATTAAATTGGGCTTCGATCATAATTTAATATGTTCACAGAGTTTAAATTGATCACCAAGAATAAAATATTTTAATATTTTTAATTATATTATATTATATTTTTAATTAGTATTTTTAATTTTTTGTTGTATAAATACAATTTTAACTAACTGAAATTTATAGTTTGAGGTTTTCGTTGATTATCCAATATTTATACATGAACAGTTGCGAAGAATGTGTATTTCTATAAATGATTTCATTATATTTTATGAAAATGATTGGGAACTAATTATCGAGGACTTAGTGATTCAATGACTGTTCTATCAGCGTTCGATATTTTTATTTTTTTTTTTTTTTTAACTAACCATAAAATCATGCACGTAAGTATTCATACATATAATGTAAATAAGTAGTTCACGTCGATATTTACTAAAAAATAAACATATTTTAAATAGAATATACTGTGCCCCGTGCCCTGTTTATTAGGTTTTATTTTAATTATCCACTTCTCCAACATCTACTAATTAATTTTACCTACATTATTATTATTATTGATAATATAAATAGGTAGTACTTACTAGGTACTATAAATGCTGTAATCTATAATAATGTGGTGAAACATCACCATATAATTCCCGCTCGGAGGTGGTAACATTGTTAGGCGGTTGGTCACCATGTTTGTCGACGGCGCGAACGACCGCCACGTCAGGACGGCGGTCACCCGCTCTCTCCGTTCGTATCGCGACCCAAACACACGTTCGCCGAACCGAAGCATCTGAGTTGGGTCCCGAGTACTAGGGGCTAATCGTAGGTAGTGTACTAGTTGGGTCCCGGATTAGGAATTGAGTCCATGCTACTTTTATGTGTTTGAATTGAGTCCCGGATATTTTCATAGTGTGTTTGAATTAAGTCCCGGGTATTATCTTAATGTCTTTGAATTGAGTCCGTATTATAAAAAATACAGTAGTAAACAAATTTGCAGGTTTGAGTTTTTAAAATCTGTATCTTTTAAATTTTTACCAGTAACTATTTAAATTTATTTTTATATTTATATTTTACATTAATTTTAAATTAAATTAGTTTTTTATTTTATAGTAACTTATACTAACTGACGTGTGTTTTATAACAATCAAAAAAAAAAAAAAAAACTATAAACAAAACAATTATTATTATTATTTATTTTAGTTAAGTCTAGAATTATAGACACAGTATTACAACCCACGAAAATTAACAAACGATTTTTAAACATATTTTAGGTTTGAAATTCAGTCGCTGGTTCATCAAGTCAAAATGCTTAAAAATATCTGTAAGTGTTCTCCAAAAGATATGAAAGTATTACAACTTTGGACTGTCAACACTTCGTGCAATATAATCTAATATACGATTTTTCGAATGTCTATTACACATTTCATACAGAACTTTTTAAAAAATGGCAGGTTTGTATAATGACTAATGACTATAATGAGCAATGACTATTTAGTATTAATGAAAAACATGCGTTTTATGACTTCCAAATGTGTTATTTGTGAACAGGTTCGGTCTGCTGAATATAAAATTATTTATGCAAAAAGAAAAAATATATACAAGATCGATTCAGAACAGAAACTGGTCTCCTTGTAGATGTAGTTTTACAAGGTATTATTTATTATAAGTACATTCAATTTTAGATTATAATTTTTAATATTAAATTTTGTTTTTCATAATATAGGCAAAGGAATAACTAATGACGGTAATACTTCTCGTAGATTTTTAAAAAACGCGGAAATATGTGCTGATATAACAAATTTAGATTTACATCTCATACAATGATTTAGGATGATTTTTAAGACAATGGTAAGTGGTTATGACATTAATTTAGAGAAGTTTGATGCCTATACTTTGCAAACTGCGTAACTTTTTGTATCATTGTACCCGTGGTATTATATGCCTGCCTCGGTTTATAAAATTTTAATCCATGGTATAGACGTTCTGTCTTATTAGTAATAAGTTATTACCTATAAGTCAGTTTTCACAATATTCGGAATTTGAAGGATGATTACATAACATAACAAAACAAAGAAACAACAAACATGTTTATTTTATAGGCCAGTTGTCGGATAAGGCGCAAGAGGCCCGAAATAAAGATTTCAGAAATATTAGAAAAAATAATACACGCAAAACAGTCTCACAAAATGAGGATTTAGCCCATATGATACTTGTCTTCGGATCCTTACATTTCTAGCTCAAAAAAAAATTCGAAAATCAATGTGAAACCGCTAGGTGAAGATATGAGAACTCTACTAATAATCGACGTTAACTAAAATAATTAATCCCACAATAACAGTGACGAAGACAGTGATTCCGAATAAATTAATGTATTATTATAATAAGAAAAAATACATTATTTATTATAGTTGTAATAGTTAAAAGTTAAATTCCTTTCATTTTAGTAAATTTTGAACACATATTTAGCTTAATAATTATTTAAATATAAATTAAATAACATAAGGAAAACATATTGTAAATAAAATAATTTTGTACGTCTAAAATTGCATTTCCGACCACTATGTGGTGCCTACTTTTTTTTAAGCCTGGCTTGCAGGTCGATCGACCTGCTTGATCTTATCAGTTTTGTCGCAGATTGTACAATGTTAAATTTTTTCTTGCCGCAGTTTATATACCGACTTTTAGAAAAAATAAATTTTACCACCGTTAGCTTGAGTAATTTAACATTCACTCCTGAATCAAGCGAATAGCTTGATTATTTTATATATTAAGAAAGTTATAAAAAAAAACGCTTATAAATATAATATAAAGCATTTATTAAAGAAAACGTGGACATCATATGGAATAGATTTGTTCATAAAAACTCTACGAGACAGCGATGCACTAACGGTTTTAAAATAATTATAAACATGATGCATGGCGCGAATCACGAACCGGAGTGTGTGTTCATCCGTGAGAGATCACACTCAACAACAAGTACATGGGCCAGTGGCGCAGTGTGACCAACTGGTCATACAGTGCCCATGGCGCTAGCAAAATAAAATAAAATAATATATTGGGTACCAAGGCACACGTGTAAAAAAATTGCACGAAAAGTATCACTCGACCTCTTCTCACGCGTAAGGAGACGATTGTTGAACTTGAAACTCTAAACTAGTTAGGAGAGCCTAACTAGCCGAATCGTTCGCAAACACGCAATCTCGCGGGATTCGGTTACATGACGCACCGGAGCTGTACGACCGGATAATATCTATCCTGATACCGCGGTTGAATTCGTCCCGGCCACCGCTTAATTACAATACTGATTTATCGCACAGCCGCCGTGAGTTTTGTCGCGCGGCACACGCTAATGAGTGCGATCCATCTGCACGCGTGAACGCAACGCATGCGTATACCCTTAATGCGAGTGTTCGCTTCTGTTTTGAAGCGCATTCCTATGGTAATTGGGCACAGCGGACCACTCATCCCCTTCACGGGGGCGGTCTTCCGACGTGTCCGGAAAGAGTTTGCGTCCGCGTGGGCCACGCAGTCCGTGAGCCGCTCGAGATCTCGAAAGCAAGAAATTCCTCTGGCGTACTATACTTATTTTTACCCAGGACCTTCGTGTCCATCGGGTACGAGGATCGCTAACGCCGCCACTGCGTTTGTGTACGCGTGGTACACGCACGGTGGCGAACTCGAATGCTTTCAGAGGCTTTAAAAAAAAAATAAAAGTACACTTTTCGATACCTAATCTATCACCTACGGGAGACCGAAAATCGAAGCGATGCACCTAGTACCCAACAACTAACAACCCATTAGACCACAACGATAAGTATCGTGCCAAAACTCGTTCTTAGCACGTATTTGTTGACCTGTTGTTACTGCAGCTAGTGGGTTACTGGACAGTACAGCTTCCGCTTATATCATTATTGAAATATTTATTTTTGTATGTTTTCTACTATATTCATAATTGTGACTCTCAATCATTATACACCTGCTCAACACCCATTAAAAAAAAACCGAGAGGCTCGATTACCCCCTTCACCATTCCACTGTGTATAATTACGAGTGGGTACGGCATAATGTATCCTATGCGTATTCGTTCACGCTTTTTCGGTGCAACTATTGCAGTCGCAGTGGCGTTGGACGCCTCGTCGGAACACGTATACAAATACGGAGTTATAGATGTACACTTGCAGGCCTGGGGATGCTGCGCAGAGACGTGATGTTGGAAACGGAAGATAAGTAATATCTGCGAGTACGGTGCTAGAAGGCTGGACCGGTCACGACTCCCGTTGAGTTGACTGCAGACACCTATTCTCGGCAAGATTGAATGGCGACCATTATAATACACGTACGCATATGCATATATATGCATACGCGTACGTGTATTATGATATCATAATATGCGTGTTAGGTGTGCGGAGACGGTGGTGCAGTGATTCTTCGCGGATTTCACGACCAGTGCGTGTGACCCCAGGACTTATGTTGTCGACAGTGGCGACATGCTTTAGCGATTTCGACCACGATATCCGCCACCTCGTACGCCATCAGGCTACATTAAAATGCCGTTTGACTCATTCAGTAAGTTTTAACTTTATGGAATTTAGATCGTGAGAGAATTATCAATTTTCGAATTTAGAAAAACAACTAATTTCAGATACTTGTCAGACGAACTTGATTGAGTAACCCTTTTATATAAAAAAAATGCGATAATCATAAAAATATACTACTGTATATATATATATATATATACTGTATTATATAAAACTACTGGAAGTTTAGAAAAAGCTCCTCGATAATGAAAAAAGCTATTAGCAGGGCTTGAAGTGGGAGGAGCGAGGAGACTCAGTCCCCTTATCTCTCACAGTACTTATATGATTGTTGTATATATATTTTATTAAAAATAATCATATGCAATAAAACAATTTAAAAATTGGCTTTACAACTTAGTTGATGTCACTATGGGGTTAACAGTCTTCGGCAAACAAAACTAACATATATTAAACATAAATAGTAAATTATATAGTAATATTTATTTATATATAACTATTTTTTTAATTTAATTTTTATTTTATTAATGTATATTTACAATATGTTGTTCGAAACAATAAGTAAGCAATTTACAAGTTTATACATTTTTACAACACATGAATAATTTGTGAAAAACATTGTTTACTATCAACACCTTAAAACATATTTACCTATTTATAATTAATTACCTAGTTATTGTATGGAACTATATGGAACGCTGAGAATGATATATGGATTCCCCTCTGCCCATTTTTGCCACTATAAACCCTGGGTATTGGGAAGCAATATTTTTGCTGACAAGGTTGTTGGACACTTTCAAAAGTTCTTATGTGTTTTAAATGTGTTTGATACCGAAAAGTCAAAATTATCTATTCCAACATTAAATTTTGGTTTTCTTTATACAGAGTTTTTAATTTTTACGAAGAATGTCCAAAATTGTCCAACAAGTGCGAATAAGATGTTATTGGAAAGTTTTGTTGACATACTGTACTATCTCGACGCATTTAGTTTATGCAATATCAAACATTTTAACTAAATAAAAACGATTTAGTAATAGCTTCTTTTCGTATTTACCCGTATGGTTTTTTTTTTTTACAGTATGTACTATTCATAATAATTCTATATCAATTATTTGTGTATTTTCGGTATTCACCGCATTGTTTTTGGCAAAAAGTATACAACCATACGAGTGATATACGAGTATAGTATTTTAGTGTTTTATTTGTGTACCTATATATATATATATATATATACCGCAGGGTTAAGCCGAAGGACTACAGTTTCTTTTTCTCCCCTTCTCTTGTCTACAATGCGAAATCGATTCGACACAAGTAGTAGTGGTACAGTATGCAAGCAACAGTACTATGGTATATCTGTATACACAGTTATAAAGTCGTACACGGTAACCCGCAGAGGGGACACAAACGTCGTTATCAGCAAAGTACAAACACGAGCTTTTTGCTCCTTTATACACACACGCACATAGACATACACGCACGCACACACGCGTGCGCGCGCGCAACACATCCGTCAGCGGAATTCACAGCGCGATGCGAAAGTGTTACCTTCATGGTAAATTCGTTTTTTTTTTTTTGCCGAATAAAGAACGAGGCGAAGGGAACATTTGTGTGCAGCTTTGATGGAAGGGCGGGTCTGGAGGATGAATATTGCCGAGATTGTTACACGTCTCCCTTACCCTCACCACACGCGCGTGTACGTCGTATGTAATAATATATACACGTAAAAGTCGTATCGACTTTTAAAGTTTTTCACCAATATAAGTCGATTCGTATCTTCGAGAACAAACAAAGAACACGACACACAATACAACAGTGATTCACAAAAATACTGAAGTTATATTTATTACATTTATTTTATTTAAGGTTTGAAAGTATTCCTCACCTCTTTTACGGTTAGTAAAAAAAAAAAAAAAAAAATAGAATCTTTCTACACAGTATTGTTATTATTTATTTATTTTCATTTTAAAATTTGAATGGTATATATATATATATATATATACAAATTAATACAAATATTTATACTTATTCAAATACAACATTAATATATAAATTATTGTCTTCGTAAGCTAAGCTTGTTATGGAGATAATGGTATGGTTCTTATAATAACCATATGTTTTTATTAAATAAAAATATGTAAATAATTATAGTATTAAAAATTAAGTAGATCATAACTAGTTAATTCAGTGATTATAAATCTTAAATCATTAAGAATTAACAGAGTAAATGTAACAATTCGACTGGAATACATCTATAATAAATTCAACTGAAATAGTAATTTAATATTTTTAAGATTGTATTCAGACTCACACTTATATTTAATTATATTGCCTTCTTAATTACTACATTAATTGGGTTTCTTTTTCCAAATTCTGTTTTATACATAGGAATTGAATATATAGTAGTTTGTTTCACTCTTGTACAATGGTTATATTTATATTAACATTTTTGAATATCATGAAAAAACATATATGATAATACATTTTGCGCATGTAATTGGATTAAATGTAATAAATTATATTCTCTATATAATGATACAGAGTTCATTATATAGTGTTTTTTAATAGAGATTTTAATAAGAGAATATATAGGGGTTTCAAGTGAATTAAGATGTATGCTGGTCATTGAAAAGCGTAAATATATAGTATCAATCCGATCGTTAAAGTGTACACATCGCGTCGCCCGAAAATATAATAGTACGGCATTGAAAAAAATGTTCGGTACACAATGATCGAGTCTTATTTGCCGTTTGTTGGGCGTATAACTATTAATCGTGATATACATACACTTTGGCGATAAATAATCCGCTCTAATCATTATTATTTTTGCATTTGTTGTTCGTACGTTCGGTTACGTTCGTTACGGCACGGTTAGTCCGTGCGCTCGTGTAGAATTTCACTTGAAGTCGGCTCGCCGAAAAGGAATACCTGTGCTCAGGACGGTCCCGCAATATTGTTTTCTCTTCTTCGTCGGCGATCGACAAAAAAATAAAATTAAAACAAAAAAACAAAAAAATAATAACAATAACAGAATTAATATATTATTATTATTACGTTCGCCGCTTTCGACGGATCGTTAATTGTCGATCGTCGACCGGCGATAACGACGCGTTTCGTACCACGGACGAGCGCACGTTTTTCCATTACATTTTCGTACCGTGTCTTACAACTAAACGGTCTCACTCGACGAAAATCGTACGTGGCCCAGGCAATAACAACAACCGGTGACGGCGGAGAGAGTCGAAGGCGGAAGGAGAAGATAAAAAAACTGAAGCGATTATAAAAATCGTTACAATAGATTATTTTTCTTATCTGATCGAGTTCGACTCAGCCCGGCGGCGGCGCTTTTAGCGGTGACGCGTGTTCGCATATGGCATATCGTTGTTATTATTACACACGAGTGATTTTTTTCCGCTCAGAAACCGCTAGTGGTATACGTATAGGTACAGCGGATACGGCGACGCATTCGTGCCGTGAAAGAATAATTGAAAACCCCGTTCGACGTGCGCGCCTGGTCTCTAGCGACGCGAACATATCGATAACGCGGCGAACGCACTCGTACGTGCATAGTAGTGCATGGTCCGATCTTAACATACAAAAATTATTGAATCGTCGGTTTGGTCCGGTTCGATATTTTTTAGGAGTAGTTCGGTCCAGTCCTCAGATCAAACGCATTATTTTCAGTCCGATTCGGCTTAAAAAAAAATAAATACCTGGTAAAATTTGTACTCCGCGCCGGATCAGCTGTATAACGTACCCTCGCTGATTTTCAGTCGATCGGTATTGTCGTCGATGCAGTTGCATTTTTACGAAACAACACTGCAGTCTTTACGTGCGTTTTCGCAAATATTATAGTTGAAGCCGTAGCCAAGGGCTTTAGAGTTCACAAAATGTTTTCCAACAATAAATTTGAACGATTTTAAATACCTATTTAATTTGAATGTTTAAAGTATGCCAGTAAAAACCCATATTTATACTATACTCTTAACCCCCCCCCCCCCCTCTTTAAATCTATTGCTGGCTATGGCTTCGATTGGAGGTATACGGAACAGCTGCTGTTATCCAAGAAACTTTTAGCCCACATTTACGCAGGATAAGAAACTAAATTATTTTTGAGAAACATTATTCAACTTTATTTTATAATTTGATACATATGATATATAATCGGCCAACGATCATATTGTTAAATCCACTATTTCTAAACACAAACATTTTGCGTGACAAAATAAATATAAAAATACAGAAAATAGAAATATTAAAATATATCAATTTATAAAATGCCCTTGTTATGAATTATTCAGTATTTTGCTTATTTATATCGGAGAAAGACATAGAAATTCACAAGAAATTCTGACTATAAAGGGGTTTTGTATAGGCAATTTTGAAGGGTTTAAAAAGAATAAAAAGTTTCTGAATGTTTCTGTGTATATTTTTAATTTTTTTATTATGATAGTTTTGTATTGATACTGTATACTGACCTAATCTAGAAATGTATTTTGAAATATATGATATGACCAATAAACTACTTATATTTTGAATACAATGCATTCAATTTAATTATCTTCGTCGTACCCAGTGATTTTACAAGTTTATTTCATACATTTTATAAATACAAGAATAAGCGTATTGTTTTATCTCATAGCATTTTATTCAGGGTTATTAAAATTTAAGACGTGACTAACTATAGGTTATTTTACACACTACATCATTTGTATTTTTTTGGCACGAGGAGGTTTCAGAAAAGGTTATCTGCCATTAAGTAATCAGATTTGTGTATTTAAAAATGACGATATTACAAATTACAAATTAAAAATATAAAGACAATGGTCTGCCGGATGCGTATTGTTTAAGTCAATAATTTCAGTTTATAATTTTAACAGGTAATACTATAATAATCAATGGTGATATAGATCATTTTCGAGCGTCGAAACAAACAGATGCTGATGAGGAGGCGGAAAGGAGAATATAAAGTAATGGTCAGTAACGGTACACAAAGGAGCAGAGGAATCGTATAATTATCGTTTATTGATGACATATTTGGCGTGAAAAATGGGAGGTAAAATGTGCACAAAAAAAGAGATCGAGATGGAAAATAGAGAGAGAGAGAGAGAAAGAATAAGTGCTAATGGCAAATGGAATTTTACATTGTCAATAACCCGTTTGTTACGACTACAAGACGGTAGGGCAATAAATTTTCTAGTTTAAATAGAGGTAATCGTTCTTCGCGTGTGTAATACGAACCCCCCGTGTGAAATAGCGTCATCATCGGGTATGCAAGTATGCGTGTGCGTGTGTATAATTTAGTATTATACGAAATAATATGTATAATACGCAATGTTCTAAGGACGTTGCAGCAGCAGCAGCAGCAGAAACATCGACCATTGATAAACACGTGCGCCGCGGCAATTCCTCAGCACACCGATGGCACTCGAGAATGCTGTTTTCTTTGTTTACCCACTCGCCATCCGTAATAATATCATATGTACATTATACACTTCACGATGTAATAAAAGCGAAAAAAAATGAATAAATAAAATAAAACAAACGAACAAAACATTAAACATCTGTTAAGTCCCAAGTAAGTTGGAATATTTCATCTCCGGCTGCGCGGCGGTAATTATAACAGTATTTAGCTTGAGCAGCGGTCGTGGTATACGCACGTTAGGTTTGAATATAATGTATATACGCATGTCGTCTTCGAGTTTTGCTGAGTGCACTGAAAACAATAGCGTGTACAACGCATGCTTTCCGCGACGAACACAAGAACAATTGATCTCACCGGGCGAATCACTGCACGCATGACAGTGGCGGATCCACGGGGGAGGGTGTTACTCCCTCCCAAATCAGGAGAATTATGTATTCAAAATCATTAATTTTCATTATCAAGGGAAAATATTTTTCAACCCCCCTTCCCAAAAAAAAAAAAATCCTGGATCCGCCACTGACGCATGAATACAAGGTACAACGGTAAATTATGCAGACGTTTCGAGCACATTTTTCGGATATCATCTCGGCTCCGGGTCGTTATTATTCCTTGCCGTATTGCATCCAATCACAACGAATTAATAGGACCTAGTTAATCGCATATATAAAATTATAAAATATTATCTACTGTTATAAAATATTAAAATTATATTAAAAGAAACCAGTAAAAGATTTGTAGTGTTATTCAGAAATGTATCGATCAATTTAAACAAGGAAAAATTACCAGAGTAGAATACGTAAAAGAAATTTCCTTCAAGTTTAAACCGCAAGTTTTTTAATTTTTTTTTAAGTCAAAATTGTTTTTTATTTTAAACACCAACAACATTTTTAAACATGTCTACAGAGAAATTCTTCTCACCGTATCCAGTCCTCAGCCTGTAAAAATGAGAAGGAAAATATAGTTGATTGGGAGCTGATACGTCCATACTACTGGTATCGGATGTGAGCCGATACGGCCTACCTTTAAATGAACGAGGGAGCCAAAGCGGATAAATGGGAGCCAATCCGCGGATACTTCCCATTTTTCCAGTTCCACAGGTTGTACAACGTGTAGCTGAAGTACTCACGGGCCAGAGAGGGATCGGCAGACGGACGTCTCGACTGCGCGGATTACGCATTACACCGATGACGAACGGTCGATACGCGTTTTTCATCCCGGCCACGGCCCTTCGGTATGCACGTGCTTGAGACGTGATTCGAGCGGTACGGAAATCGACTTCAATCGACACTTTTCCCTTCTTCGCCGCCTCGTTCGTGTTTCGTGCTTGTAGCAGAGCCGCGGGCTAAAGCTATGGTTTCCTAGAAAAGCGGTGCCGTTATCTAGCGGCCGCCATTTTACGGTTGTTACAGCCGTCATTTTGCGGCCGTCTTTACGGTGACCAAACTGTGGTTTCCTAGAAAGTGATGCGACCGCATTCAATCGTAGTTAATCAGTACTCACTCGAGCGGTAGGTCGTGCACTGTTGGAAAATGGATGATCTGGACATAGCATTATTGGTATGTTTGGAGGATGAAGAGTTATCAGAAGACAAAAAAATCGTTCGGAAGAGAGTGTGATGTTCAAATATCGTGATACTGAGGGTGCATTTAAAATTTTAGTGCGTCATCTGGGCTTGTTTATACTCTTTACATTTTATAATATAATAAAGCTTCATTATCTTATACAAAATCGTTTAATAGTTCATCATTTTCGCTCGTCCAAGTCGCGTTCCACACATTTTATTAAATAAATGTATACCGCTACACGTGAAAAAACGTTGTACGACTGTTTATCACCGCTATGACGGCCGTCATGCAATTGACAGCACCACTATTTGACGTTACGGTGACCATCGACATTCTCTAGGAAACCTACAACGATGGTTTACATAGAGAACGTTTTAGTGACGTCACTTAACACTACATTACGGCCGCTAGATAACAGCACCGTTTTTCTAGGAAACCATAGCTTAAAAGTTTCGACGAAAGGTCGTTTAGCCGTGCTCCTATTATCCTATAGTAATAGGTTATCCTAACCTCTTATTATCTGTAAACTAACGGTGGTGGTATTTTTGTTGTTTTTTTTAATCAAAAGCCTCGCTCGGTCGTCAGTTGATGTGAACTTGCTGGAGCAATTGGCCAGGGTAAATTTTTCGCGGAAAATCGAACCACGCAAACGGTGCTCGTGTGCAGAATAACGTGTGACGAGGTCCGTATCACCAGAACGGCCACTTTTGAATAATAGTATCAAACCTTGACAGTATTTTGTACTTTTTTTGTACAATTTTGTACAACCAAAATAAAATTTTGTACATCCACCCTAAACCGAGAAAATCCGATTTTTCTATGGTCATCACATTTTATACTGTGCCTATTACCTATAATAGCCAAAATTCTGTACAGTAATACCGTATTACTATAATAATATGATAAGAAGTTAATAATATCTTAATAATAGGTATCAATAACACGAGTTTTACTTTCCACCGCACTATACCTTTCTATAGTATATAGTGGACTAAATATAAATGAAAATAATTAAAAATAGAAAAACCCCAATTTCTGGTTTATGCATGTAGTTTGAATTATTTAACTAGATGTTATGTTATGTTGATTTTATACACGGCTATTTCCGAAAATAGAAAATGAATATTGTGTTTGACAGTCGAATAGTGTGATCCAAACTGTGGATACTGTTTATAACATACACTTACTTACTTTGCTACCTACTCAAATAATTAATATCATAGTTTTGTTTTATTTTTATTGGATTATATAAGGTAAGTAAAATTTATGTATATCATAAGTTCTTATGTTTCTTTTAATTTTATAATCTTACGTGTATACAGTTAATATACGTATTTTGTTAACTTAAAATAACAGGTTCTATTAGAAATGGAGGATGAAAGTAGAGGTATGTATTTCCATCAATTGCAATTGCTCAAAAGAAGTGGTTATAAAACCAACCAACCACATTATTGTGGAACTCTTGTCAATACCCAAAGGTAAATAAAAGCATTTGAATTATTTCAAAATTATATGGGAAAGTGGTATAAGATTCTATTATATCGTTATTTGTATTTTTTAGTGTCTTTAGTCCATTTAAAATTTGCTTTAACTATTTTGCATCAAATTTTTACTCTCAAACAAATCAAAAATTATGTCATTATATTACCGAGGGATAGCATCACAAAATAAAAAGCCACAACCACGAAAAATATTAAAATAATTAATGAAAAAAAAAAAAAAATGTGTAGTAGTACTAGTAGTAGTTGTAGTATATTTATGTAATTTATTACATTTTAATTGTTATATTCATGTTTTCATTATTCATAGATTTAATAGCTTCTGGTAAATATTCACATTTTGATAATTCTACTAAAATTTCACAAAATTATGCAGGGAAGGTTTTGTTGAAACTTGGAGATATTAGCAAGACAATAAAAATGCATGGTGATGTATACAATTTAAGAGGGGTAATTGCTTTTAATGGATCAGCAAGACAATTGAGAGAGTCATGTGGACATTATAAAGCATATGCTTTGAGATCAAATGATCAATGGCAATGCTATGACGATTTAAAGGAGCAGGTATTATCAAAATCAAGTAATTTTAAAGTTAATACAGAGATTCTATTGTATAAAAAATAATATGTTGTTATTTTTACATGTTTTTCATATTCAATAAAACAAAATACCTACTCTTCATAAACTAACTTCTTCTCTAGAACCACATTTATTTTCTACAAATCTAATAAAAAAACTATATTGTGTCTATCACAACCTAAGAAAACATTAAAGATAGCTACCAATTAAAGTAAGTATTGTAGTTGATAAACATTTAATTAAAAACATATTAGTATTAAATTGCATTGAATAATATGTAATTTCTCCTTCTTTAGGACTAATATAACAACCCCAAAAAAAATTAAAAACAAAAATAAAAAAATCATGCATTGTAGGGTTAAGAAAAAAATCCAACCACTGATGTATTTCAATAAACAAATATTTTTTTTTAACTATATTTTTGTGTTTATATTATAAAAATTTAAATGCATATTTTTGCATATTTTGGTAAATAAAATGCATATTTTACAATTTTTTATTGGATACAAATCTTAGCCCTGGTTATTATAGTTTTTGATTTTTATTCAGTTTTTACTAACGTAATTTTTGCTAATATTTAGGATGTTGTAGTAAAATTCCGAAAAATTTTAAACATTATTTGGTGATATCTATAGAATTATAGAATTAATATACGATTAGATTTGATGGATAGACAAAACATTATGTCTTGCACTAGCCATCATAATAATTAAAATTTCAACAAGCGAATAAAATGTCTGAGGAAATTATGTGAACATTATACAGCCGATTCGAGATATCTTGAAAAATTTGACAGCTGAAATTCTCTAGATATTTTCATAACACTCAATTTACTATACGAGTAAGTCTTGTTAACTCGATTATGAAATGTTAATAAATAGATTAATCGGAGTATATCTGAGTATTTTCATTAACATATAAGGTTTTATCTATATACCAATATACAGCCAAAAAACCAAAAGTTAATAAAAAATTATTTCTCTACTGCATGTAGTAAATAATTCATACAGTGTGCACTCATAGTATGAGTCTCATACTCCTAATAATATTGTATCTTTTTTGGTTTTTTATGACATATATGTACGTATATTTATCAAAACATTATAAATCGTAAAATTTTGAAATTATACTTCATTACATAACTCGACATTTCGACTTCATTTTGATAAATTCGAGTTAAGTACCTCGAATAATACATACTTTATAGCAAATGTCTATCCCCCTTCGACTGGCAGATATCGCGACTCAGCTACATATTACATAAAAGCGTTTCTACATTGTATATTAACTCAGTATAATATTTTATCTTCTTCGTATATATCGTTTTATTTATTTACATTGTAACTTTCGTTCGGAGTTTAAAAGTTGCGCACGATACTATCAATGGCAAAAAAAACCACCATCAACGCATATCTTTTTCAATTTCAGACTTTGTTCGAGTTTTTACTACACTATACCCAACGCGTTTTATCCGAAGACCTATGTACACGAGGGCAAACGAGTTGGAATGGTACAGGTAATCGCACCACTCTCATATGTATGCATACCACTGGGTATCAGCTCTGGTAAACACACGACAGAATTACCCACACGAGGTACGTACGGCGCGCACGGTAAACTCGTGTTAACCGTTTCGGACTCAGTGCGGATCGCATTGGGTGAAAATTGGCTTTTTTCAAATTAAACTCTACACGAATGTCTCCGGTGACCCTTTGTGTCTGTTTTAAACTGTGATTGCTTACGGAACCTATGCTCTTGTGATCGCAGGAACGGAAACCGCACCCCGGAGTCAAGCAATTGGAACACTGTCAAAAATACAAAACCACACGGATTGGCACCAAATTACCAGGGTATTTTTTTTTTCTTTTTCCTTTTTTTTGGCATCGTTTTCGATTGGATTTCGGCTTTGTACACGGAGCTAACATATTATATACACTTTACCGTTGCTCTGTGCAGTGCAGTTTCGATTAAAAACCTTATGTATAAACATATTACATAGCTCACCGAATTGTACGTCGTCTCGAGGTCATTGCGCGCGTGCACACATCGAACGGCGTTTATACAATGCATGTACACATATACGTGTATATGTACGCGCGAACTCGTACGAGGATTTACGCGAGGGGGACTTTTCAGACAAAAATATGTCGTCTTGTATCCGTTTTACAAACGCGTGTGTGCAATAAAAAAAAAGTTATATGTATTATTATTATTATTTTATTTGCCACGGATAGAGCACTATATAATATAATACATTCCGGAGAGATTACGGTTCGCCGATGTTTGCGCTAACATTTGAATGCGAAAGTCCGTCATAAAATGTGTTATTTTTACCCTCGAAAGAGATTCGGAGTTGAAAAAAAAATGGTTAGTGGACACACACAAGGTTCAACAATAACATACTGTCCGGCGATTAAGGTCGTTTTTAGAGTGGGTTTTTACGAGGGCAAAAATTGTCCACAATCCTCGCCTCGTCGTTCCCCCGGCCCGTGTTTATTCGAACCCGTAAAAAGGCGAAATGCTTGACCATTTTTACACACAATAAGGCGTCCCCGAATTTATTTTTATCGTCTACAAAAAGCTGCTTTTTATTACGACCTTATTTATTTATATTTACTCGTATTATATCGGAATATCGTTTCCGACTCTCTCGTCTTATTATTATTATTATATTTTTTTCAAGCCATAATATACTACACAGAGCGATTTAAAAAAAAAAAAAAAAAAAAAATGATCGTTTTCTTTTTAATATCGAAACTGTTTAAATCACTATTCACACGTATACATACACACGCTCCCTTTTAAATTGTATATAGCCATTTTACCATGTGTTCTTTCTTTTTTCTATCGGTGCAGTGATATATTTCAACATTTTCATGGGACGGGCCAATCGTAAATCATACAAATGTTTTACTTTTGGATTTATATTGAAAACATTATTTTGCACTTGGACGACATTATTACGCAATCGAAAATATCTCAATGTTAACACGACGACGTTGATGATGACGACCACACACACACACACACACATTAGCGCACGCTACAGCCACGGTTAACACAATTGGAACAGTTGATACGGACAATAAACATACCGATGTATATGTATGTGAACGTGTGCGTATACATTAATGCACATTTTGATACTTTCATAGGAAATAATAAAACCACGCCCGGAATAATTTAAGAAAATTATTTCCGTCTCATAAAATTGTTAACACTTTTTTATGGGGCCAAATGATCTTTATCACAACGAATCTAGTTTCCGAGCACAATTTATTATATATTTATGTATATAGTAGCAATTGAGTTATTATAATCTTCTTTTACTCCTTGCATCAAATCACATTGACTAACCAAGAAAATATAAACGTCTAAAATATACACTAGTTTTTAGGCTGTCATAAAAATATAAAAATAAATTAGATGTTTACCGGAAACTTAAAATTAATATATGATCTCTTTTAATCAAATCAAGATATGATTCCTACTGAGATATGATTAACATATTCTCTTGACTTTGTTTTAAATAGAAAATTAACCGTTAATTATGCGTTATATATAATCCAACTGAACGTAGTTTTTTGATAAACATTGTAATATTTTTTTAATTATTTTCAACAACGCGTACTACGTTTTCAAACCATAATAGACAAGCGAATGGAATACTGAAAAAAAACAACAAAGTTTAGAGGTCTGTTTGAAACTTTCTGCACTTAACATTGCCTAAGCGATTACAGTATCTATTATGTTTGAAAATATTTTATGCAAACTGTAAAGTGTTGAAACAAGACTTCTGTTGTTAAGATCAGTATTATTATGTATACGATCTGGGGAAAAAAAAAGTTTTTCAAAAAGTATAATACAATGTCTTTGTTAAACGCATCTGCAACGTCTGGAAATATGCGCGTATACATATTCGAGAACCCGTTTGAATATTTTCATAGTTATTATTATTATTATTATTATTGTGACACGAAAACGCGTACGCGCTACCGGGTTAAGATTTATCGTTTTCAGCTACCGAAATATGTCCGCATAAATATTTCTATTTAGCCTTACAGGTGTAGTGCAGATAACGGACGGGGTGTGTGCGGAAAAGGAAAAAAAGAGCAATAATAATTGCCGACTCGGGACAATAGCTGCGCCAAGTCCAACAGTGATACGTTAAGCTTCCAGAGCAGCTATGTGCATATATTATGTGGCATAGTTGCTTGTATGTGTACGACGAGGGCATGTTCGCGGTGTTGAAATGACTACGTCGGAGGGGAGGGGTGCTCGAACGGGGGTAGGCGCGGGGGAAGCGATCTGACGTAAATATATAATTCACGACTTTTCACGACGTTATTGTTATCATACATAAATATTGTATATATATATATGTTTAACCTATGCGCGCGCGCGCGACCGGAATGGGGAGAAAAAAAAAACGTACCTATATAATATGATGCGAGAAAAAATAAGTAAAAAGAGAAAAAAAAATTGAAAAATATAAAACCGGGACACCTCGTTGTCGCGCGCGCAGATTAGATCCGAACACACGTTTCCGTGAATTTATTATTCCATTGTGTCAAAAATCCTCAAAAGCCGCGCGCAACGCTTTACAGGTCACACAGCGGTGCGGCGGCAGGTTCCTTCCTTGTTCGTGCACTCGCGTACTTGAATCGTTGTCGCGTGCACGTATACAACGAGGACTTCTGTCTCTCGCACTATATTTATTTAATATTTTCATCCTGACTCGCCGAGAGAATTCGACCGAAACATTTGTTCGCTTTTTTTTTCCATACGGATGCCCGTACGAGGCACGTAGACACACGGCAGCGGTTCTGCGCGATATAACGTATACACGTATGGAGTGACAAAAGCGCGTGTATGTGCAATAAGGTGTCGGCGGTGGTCGGCGTACGACGTATTAAAATTCCAACAGTCCGCCGTGACGGCGGTGATTAAAATAACGCGTTCGGCAAATTATCGCCGGTGAATTTGCATTGTATTATAGCGCGAACGAACGCGCAACGTCTGCGAATGCTCTATAGAGGTTCTCG